CAGCGTAGCGGAGCGCGTGGGAGAAGAAGAACAAAAATGCGACCGGAACGTCGCCGCCAGTTCGACAAGGCAATGGCCAAGCGCCCACGCCACGATCGACTGATCGAGACCGAGACCGAGAGGTGATCGATGCATCGACGCCAGAAAATTGACATCAACGCTCCCAACTGTCTGGATACTTGTCGTTGTCATCTCATTTCCAGGCTCCAGCGCCCAGCGTCATCCGTAAGTTTATGTGTCGCTTCGAAACTTTTAATGTTGTGAACTGGTATCTGGTATGTTTGAAAATTGCTCTGCACGTTTCTATGCGCAGGTGATCTCTGATGGACGACGCGAATGAAGATGGTGTAGTCTGGCGTCCAGCCCTTGCCATGGTTGGATCGCGTGACGGAACCCAAGTAATTCATTTTGGAGACGGTTTCTATTACTACCGTCACAATGATCGGGCTGGCAGTCCTTTCGTCTCCCTTCGCTGCACGAAATATCGCAGGCAAGGTGTCCTCTGCCGAGGGCGCGCGGTTATGTCGCGCGATCGGCAGTACTATGCAATTACTCGCCGTCATACAGGCCATGCTGCTGACGTTCACTTCGTTGCGGAGCGAGAACTGAGAGGTCGAATTTTGGAGCGCGTGCGCTCTGGTGAAGCCACCCCTCACGCAATGATTGTGCGCGATGAAGGAATCAGGTATGAGTTCTTCGTGATGACGTTGTTGAGCCCAAAACAGCAAAGACAATTTTTTTCTTGAACTTAAAAGCCTTTGTTAACTGTTACATTGTACATTGTACACTCTTATTAGAGCAAACTTCCAAGTACACTCTTATTAACAGCATACTTGCTAGGCACATGCTTAAATAGAGTGTGCCTGGCAAGTACACGCTAAATAAGTGTGTATCTTGCAAGTACACGCTAAAACACACTCGATTAGTCCTATCTAAAAGCATGGGCCAGTTTAAGTGTACCTTCCAGGTACACTCTTATTTAGCGTGTACATGCAATGTACACTCTATTTTAGCGTGTGCCTAGCAAGTATGCTGTAAATAAGAGTGTACTTGGAAGCATGCTCTAATAAGAGTGTACAATGTACACACTTCAGTTTGCAGAGAATGCGGAGTTCCATATTTCTGCATTTAGTAAATGGTGCACTTTTATTGAAAGTTAACAATTTGCAGGGGCAGGTATTCTGCTGAGGTCAGATCAAGGCTGCCTGCGTCAAGACTTAGGTCAGCAATGTGGAATGCTAGAGGAGAGTATCTACCCAGAATTCCAAGAAACCTTCCTGTCCTTGGACATTACTTGTCGGATCCTCAATATCAGCGTGTCACCCAAACCATTGATGGCCAAGATAGTCTATTTGCAGGAATGTGTGGTCTGTATGCCGCAGGAACGGTGTCTCTTGTTTTTATGTCTAGACGCATGATGGATTTGCTTCAGCGTCAGCGACAGGTGTGAATGACTTTAACTTTTCAATGTTTCAACCTGGTTTTGCTGTGTAAAAATTGTGTTTAAAATCAAAATAATTTCAAATGCCCCTACAGATTTTTGTTGATGGCACCTTCAGAAAACGGCCTCGTCAGCCTTCATCATCTCAAATTTTTTCTATTAGTATCATATGGACAAATGAAGCCACCAACACACGACATGTAAGTGACAATCCTAAACCATACTTAGGATATTGTTTTGTTATTTTTATGAAAGCTTAACATTTCATGCACAGTTGAGTGGCGATTTCTTCTCAATTTTGGAGTGAATAGAGGGGTTTTCTTTAAACATAAACAATATGAGAATATTTTTTGTCTTCAGACCATTACTGTAGCAAGAATACTAATGCAAACGAGGACTGAAGAAGCTTATGTTACCTTGCTCGAGTATTTGTTGACTCTTATGCCGCAGTTTAACCCAGAATTGATACACTGTGATAATGAGAGAGGCTTAATCAATGCCCTCAGAGCAGTCTTTCCACAAGCAAGAATTGTTCCATGTTTGTGGCATTATGCTGTGGTATGTTTTTTTTTCTCATGTCTGTTAATTGTTTGTTACTAAGCATTTCATTCTGTTAAAAATTACTCGAACAGTAATTTTTTTCTTGTAACAGAATTCTTTGGTGTTTTTTTTTGCTTCCTAGGATGTTTTTCGCTACTCAAAGTCCCTTGGGTTGCACCATGCAATGGAAACAAGCTGGGTTTTGGACTCAATTGTCAGATGCTTGTGTGTCATTCCACTCCTTCCAACTCATCAGCTGTATGCGGGTCTCCTTGAAGTGGGCCACTGGGCTCGGAGAAGTGGACAAATGCACTCTCCACTTGTAAGGGACTTATTTAGGTACATGGAAAGACAGTGGATGTCACAACAGCAAATTCTGAGTGTCTACGGCTGTCCAGACAGAACCATAATGTTTCAGAAAGTTCACATGCTGGTTTAAATTGGCATCTCAGGCAAGACAGACCAAATGTCTATGAGCTTATCAGTAAGTGTTCTGTATTGGAAATAACTTATGTGCCTTGATCATATTAATGATACAACCTGTTCAAACTTGTTTTTCTTTCCAGGGTCCTTTCTCCTTCAAGAGGATCAGTTCATGGTGGATGTCCATGCTCTTTCAGATGGTCGAGATGCTGGTAGAGCAGTGCGAGTATCGACTATCTACAATGATGACAGGATCAGAAACCTCACAGACAGCCTCAATCAAAACAGAATAAGTATTTTGCAGTTCCTGCGAAGTGCTTCACGTACCCTCCAGGCACCTTATGATCTTGTTTTCGGTTAGGCTGGAACATCTAACTATTGTTGTGAGGAGGACCATTGCCCCATAAAAACTAAATTTTGGTAGGAAAATTTCAAAAACTAGTCTGTGGATTTTTAAGTGAGTTTGTGGGTAATGGTCTCCTTTCTCTCATGGTCTTGCAGCAGAACTTTCCTATGTGTTTGCTCAAACTGTGTTGGGCTGTTTTGTTATGAACAACAAGAAGTATTTTTGCTTGTATTTTATGTAGTTGACACAATCTATGTATTTGAAGTGCCTTCTTTCATCGAGGTGTTTTCTGTTTATTTTTATTTTTTTGGCTAAAATTTTAGAACCCTCCATTTTGTTGTTGTGATAATTCATTTTGGTTACGAAATACAGCAGGTTGTGAATAACTCTGATATTTAAGGTTCCTCATGTTCATTTCATCTTATGCATTGCAGACACAAAAGAGACTATCAGTCTTTCAAGAATTAAACTGAGTAGTCAGTCTTTAGTACAGAAAGCTATGTAAATTCACACATGTCACTAACTCAAAAGTGGGTTTCATGCTGGCTTGGAGTTGTTCTTTTGTTGATGTTTATTACCTGGGTGAAAGGTGCTATCAAATTTCCCTTTTTGTAAAAGGCAAATCGCCCAAATGCTCAGTTTTCACCACAATTATATATTTATTGTTGTCAGTACAGAACAGTACACTTCCAGAGAAGCACTTATCAGAGCTGGCAGAAAATTTATTGCAAGTTAAAAACACTAATTGTTTGCACGATTTTGTTTACTTCAAATTGATGGACAAGTGCCAGGAATATTTCTTTCTCTTGCTTCTTCATGGCCTCCACCTGCGCTGATTAGGTCTACCACCTTGGTTCCTCGGGTTGTCTGGCAAAGTCCCTCTGGATTCTGGTGGTGAGAATGGAAATGGGAGTGTTGCTTGGCTGGCATTTGCCCTGCCTCTGATGAGTGGGTTTCTTGACATTTCTGAAACAGAAGAGCCATATGATTTAGTGGAGGTGTAACTGGTATTTTATATGCCTTCAGGTTGATAAAAGAACAAATTCTCAGGGGGACAAAAAGACATGACTCGTTCAGCATTTATGGTGCTCTGGAATCTGTCAATGACTAATAGTTTGTTTGCACTCCTATTATGAAATCGGAAGTTGTCGGATTATTACCAGAAAAATTGTTTCACTGATTTATTTGCTGCAAATGTTAAAGTGTTTGACGTTTGAGCATTGAGAGAATTAAGTGCTTCATAATACGCCATCCAGGGTTTTCCTTTGCTTCAATGAATCCTACAAGACGGGCCTTAAAGTCAAGTCATGTCACCAGTGCCACTGTACCTTGGAGTCTTCTCAGCTCAGAATCTACCACCTCGGCCGTTCGTCGCAGCATTGTAAGCCTTTCAGCCAGTTCTATGGGTAGTCGGACCAGATCTCGCTCGATACGACGCATTTGAGACTGACAATCATTAAATGAGTTAAGGATAGACACATACCAAAAAAGGAGTAAGGGTAATTCGAACTCACACGCAGATAAGCCGATAATTCATCCAACTGGCGCATTTGGCGAGTGTGTGAGGTGTCCATTGGACCTAACTGGAGACAAAATTTGGGATGGCTCCGAAGTTATTTACAGAAAAAAGTAAGCTTCTCTAAGCAACGCGACAATCGGCAATCAAAGAGGGCGCCGCGCACCGCCAACCCCAAACGGATGTGCGAATCGTCCGGAAGTGGTATGTGCACCAACCTCTGTACGTTCAAGTCTCGTATTACGTTCCAGTCACGTCCGGAAGGGTCCTCACACGGAAACAGCCATGCATGTAACAATGCTAGAAAAGCCTCTGAGATAAGCTTTCGCTCAACAAGACCGCTCTTCTTTTCCGTATGTGCAAGAATTCGTAATGGGATTTCGGAGGCGTAGAGGTGTGGTGTCACTGCACTAATAAACAACGCCAGTCAAAACAGACCCATTTCGTCGGTTATATTTCACTACCGTTGATTTTTAGGGTACTGACACTACTTTCTCCTTCTAAAAAAAAACAATTACTTTGCGTTTTGACATTTAGCGCTGTTTTAAGTAGTACAAAGGTCACCTTTGTTGATGTTTTTTCGGGGGGGCGGGGTTATGTTCATTGGTTGACTGACTTCAGCTGTACTTTTTGCGGTCCTTCCGGCCGGCTGGCAGCCGGCCGGCATTGCCGTCAGTGTGCAGGTGACTCTTGTGGGGAGCTGACGTACGTTAACGTGAAATCTGGACGGGATCATGGAGAATAAGTCTGCGGACGCTCAGGGCACTGGGGGGCCCCACGCGCAGCAGGCGGGTGGTCCGCCAGCAGTGGCTATGCAGCCTCTGCAGCAACCTCAAGGTGTACAGCCTCCTCATCAGCAAGCTGGAATGGCCGTGGCAATGTACCCGCAGCCGCAGGCGGGTGGTCCTGGGCCCATCGGTCCGCCGCAGCCAATGCAGCAACCTCAAGGTGGACAGCCTCCTCATCAGCAAGCTGCAGTGGCCGTGGCAATGTACCCGCAGCCGCAGGCGGCTTTTCCCCAACATGGCTACGGATTTGTGCAGCAGCCGTACTATCATCAACAGGTCTATAGCCCATCGCCAAATGCGCCTGCCGCGTCTTCGGCTCAAGGTCAGTGTCTTGGCGCCTACAGTGTGCGTTAGGATAGGGTCCTTTGTCTAGAGCCGCCATTTTTTATTTTCTCCCGTCCACTTGAAACTTCCTATTTTCACTCTTTATTGAAGTAAGATCCTTCGTCTTTCTCGCCCGCGCAAGTGTATTTCTCCTCTAAACCTTGACTATTGCTGCCCGCCCAAAATGCCAGCCGAGTGCTTGTTGCGAATCGCCGATTGCGTCAGTTAAACTCGCAGTATTATGACGAAGTTAAATGCCAGTCTCTATCTCTCTGTCCCTCTCACTCACTCTTCCTCACTCTCCTCTTAACGAAGTTTCTTCTTATTTCAGGTGCTGCTCATTGGCCGCCTAATGGAGAAGGACATTCCCCCATGCCAGCCGGGCCCTCATGTTCTGGGCAGTTCTGGTATCAATCGTTTGCCTCCAGGTTCATAGTGAGCATGTTCTTATTTCCTTCTTTCTTAATATTTTTCAGGACCTGCTCCCAAGCCATGGGCATTTGCTCCTGGAGATGCCACGGTCTCCAGCACCTCCAGTAATGGGAGAAGGAAGAGGCCAAGGAAGCCGGAGTTCGAAGCTGCTAGTGCAACATGCGCGTTGTGCTTTGAAGAGAAGGCACCGTTGTTTGCTTTTACACCCTGTGGACACTACCCATACTGCAACGACTGTATATTTAGAAGCTCTAGGGGATCTATAATCCGTTGTTCCAGCTGCCGGAAAATTGTCGATGACAAGGTCCCTGCCAACAAAGTCAGGCCAAAGCAACCATAGTGTGCTCTTTTGGTGACTACCTTTTATGATCATGGTGAGATGTGTTCTTATTTCAATTTTTATTATTGACATACTGGGTGAATTTTTACAATATGGTCAAAGCATTTTAAGTAATTTTTTTTAATGACGAGCACTTCTCAAGGGAATACCACCTTGACCTTGATGACAAAGCTTTTTCACTCCTTTTTACCTCTATAATGTTTGTCTTTGCATTCAATTTTTCTATCATGTCCAGATCTGTTTTGCTAAGCATTTAAAAATTTGTTTTTATGTTCTCTAGAAACTGAAGAGTGTGCATGGCATGCTCCCCCAGGGAGTATGCCACAAAGCACGCTCCATCCTGGAGTGTGCGTGCAAGCACACTCTTCCCAGGAGCATGCTTGGCAAGCACGCTCTACGGAGGAGCATGCTTCCAAGCACACTCCAGGATAAAGCGTGCTGCGTCTCTATTGCAAGGCCCATATGATCGAAGAGGCACGCCTTAATCCTGGAGTGTGCTTTGAAGCATGCTCGTCCATAGAGTGTGCTTGCCATGCATGCTCCTCTGTAGAGTGTGCTTGCCAAGCACACTCCAGGATGGAGCGTGCTTTGTGGCATACTCCCTGGGGGAGCATGCCATGCACACTCTTCAGTTTCTAGAGTTGGTCACTTCTGAAGGGAACACCACTTTCTGGTCATTGATGAATAAGCTTTTTCACTACCGTTTTCTTACGTACTCTCTGTCTTTGTGTTCAATTTTTCTATCTTGTCAAGATCTCTTGTGAAGCATCGAGAAATTTGTTGTAATGTTGGTCACTTCTCAAGGGAATACCACTTTATGGTCCTTGATGACTAAGCCTTTTCACTAGTTTTTTTTCTTATATAATCTTTGTCTTTGCGTCCAGTTTTTCTATCTTTTGTAAAGCATTCAAAATATTTTTATAATGACAATCACCTCTCAAGGGAATTCCACCTGGACCTTGATGACAAAGCTTTTTCACTCCTTTTTACCTCTATAATGTTTGTCTTTGCATTCAATTTTTCTATCATGTCCAGATCTGTTATGCTAAGCATTTAAAAATTTGTTTTTATGTTGGTCGGGAACACCACTTTCTGGTCATTGATGAATAAGCTTTTTCACTACCGTTTTCTTATGTACTCTTTTTCTTTGTGTTCAATTTTTCTATCTTGTCAAGATCTCTTGTGAAGCATCAAGAAATTTGTTGTAATGTTGGTCACTTCTCAAGGGAATACCACTTTATGGTCCTTGATGACAAAGCCTTTTCACTACTTAATCTTTGTCTTTGCGTTCACTTTTTCTATCTTTTGTATATTTTTATAATGACGATCACCTCTCAAGGGAATGCCACTTTCTGGACCTCTATCACAGACAATGTAGATGTGGTCATGTGTCAAGTGAGAGTGATGTGTATGTAAGTGTTTGTATGTGTAAGTGAAAACACTTTCAATTTTGAATTATACTTTTTGCAGTATCACCCAAACTGTAATCATCTCTTATTTCCCCACTCAAACCACAGCAAACTGACACTGAATTTATCGCTGGTTAATTGGCTTGAACCTATGAAGGTCGAACAGGTCTTTATTGATCCTACCACTAATACCATTGCCATTCCAGCCACCAAAGTGCCTAAACGCTTAGTGTTCACCACAATTATATATTTATTGTTGTCAGTTCAGAACAGTGCACTTATCAGCTGGCAGAAAATTTATTGCGAGTTAAAAACACTAATTGTTTGTGCATTTTGTATTGATATCTCTTACTTTTCATTCTAATAATATACATGGTTCTGATGTTTCTTAATATGCATAAAGCATTATGCAATTTGCTGCATTCAATAAATACACCATTTGATGTGTGGAAAAGCTGGTATTAAATTTGTAGCCCTGTTGTCACTGAGCTACTGGTAACTACTAGTCGAAAGAGTGTTGATGGAGATATCCTGAAACCTTTGGAGCACTCCGAGTCAGCTAAGAAATTATCGAAGCACATTTACTAATGGAGTTTTGAGTTGATCACCACAGGGAAACATGTGTTCTATAGACTGGGATGTGGGGAAAGGGAAGAATATGAGATGAATGACTTGGAATACACAAGAAAATCATTTTTATTTGAAACCGAAAGAGGCCTCCGTTGGAGAACAATTCACAAGCGCACTCTGGAATTGAATCATTATTAAGGAAATTTATCTCTCTCTCTCTCTCTCTCTCCCTCCCTGATGGGGCGCTCTGCAAGTGTGGCACAAAGACAGCGACGAAGCGCTGTGGCGGTCCAGCGGTCGGCAGGCGCACCACATCAAACGGGCGCGGGGGAAGTCCATGTAAGCACAGATGCGGCGCCAGGCCTCGGGCGCCACCACGCCCTGGTTGGAGGAGCGCGACGCTACTGCAAGCTGCCGGGCGATTCAGAAGGATCACTTCGTCGCTGTCTCTACCGCACTCATGGGGCTCTCCCTGAGGGTGCGACCGAGACAGCGACAAACCGATGTACTGAATCGGTAGGCTCGGAGGGTCAAGTTAATTGCCTTGGAGGGGGCGCCTCCCTCCCAGGCTTGCAGAGTGATTCCGATCAGTGCCTTCATCGGGGCGCATCGGGGCGGTGGAGGGCCTCTGTCCCAGGGGCGCCGCGCGGGCAGCATCGGCACCGGCAGCGTGCCGACACCGAGAGCGTGGACTAGAAGGGGGCCACTAGGGACGGGTGGTGCACTGGGCGAGATCACCCCCACGGCCGCACGCCACGCTCCTGTCCCAGGCGATGGTGGCGCAGTCTGCGTCAGCCAGTCCCCCTGTCGCAGTGGGGCGGTTTGACTCGATGTCGTGCAGGTCCAAGCAGTCCGTGAGTTCCGGGACGACAGGCCGGAGCTGTCCGCGCCAGCAACAGCGCGGTGGCCACCAGCGGGACAACGAAGCCGCGGGCCGCGGGCCGCGTGGCTGGGTCTGACGGCGTCCTCGGCTGGCGCTGTCGGTGTCTATACCGACGCTCCCGCCGCGACTCAACCACCAAGCCCTGCCAGCGAGACGACGCGCATCTGTCGCAGTCCAGCACGAAGGGGCCGCCGTTGGGGTCCGGGTCGCCAGGATCGGGGCCTCGGTGAGGGCGGCGCGCAGCTTGTCGAACGCCGCCTGCGCCCCGGCCGTCCAGGCGAAGGGCTCATCCTGCACGAGTATCGCGTAGAGTGGCGCGGCGATGCCGGCGAAGTTGAGCACAAACCGGGCGTAGAACTGCGCGAGGCAGACAAAGCTTCGCAGCTGCGTCTTGTGCCGTGGCGTGGGCCAAGCGCGGTCTTTGTTGGCCTTGTTCCGAGCCGAGGACTCTCCCTTGGCGTCGATGACGTGGCCGAGGTACTCCAGGCTGCGGCTGAACAGGCTGCACTTCTTTGGGTTCAGCAGGAAGTTGGCCGCGCGCACGCGAACGAGTACCTCCACCAGGACAGCGCCTCGCTGAAGGTGGCCCCCGGGATGACGATGTCTTCCAGGTAGACCCGGGTCAGCCGGTCCATCAGTCGCTGGAACGTGGCGGGGACGTTACAGATGGACTGAAACAAATACAAACCGTGGCCGGGGACACAAAAGGCGGTCTTGGGGCATGGCCGCGCCGCCAGGGACGAGAACCACTAGGCTGGGCGCCCTGGAAGAACTCCAGCGTGTCACCTATCCGCGGCATCGGGTAGGCGTCCTTCTGCGTCACCGTTGAGCCGGCGGAAGTCGATGGCGAACCAGGGCTTGCCGTCCTTCTTGACCAGGATGACGACCACCGAGGCCCAGGGTGAGTCCGCCTGCTCAATGACGTCCTGCTCCACCATCTCCCGGATGCAGTTGTCCGCCGTCTGCTGCTAGTGGAAGCGGAGCGCCTCGGTGCCTGCTTGATGGGCGCCAAGTCCCCGTGCGGGTGTCGATGTCATGCTCAACGAGTGTGCAGTGCCCGATCTCACCGCCGCACGAGAACACGTCCTGGAACTCGAGGAGCAACTGCCGGACTTGGGTCACCTCGAGCTCGGAGAGGGCGGCGCTGCATGAGTCCAGGAGGGCCAACAAGGGTGCGGGGAGCTCCGCGGCCGGGGTAGCGCCGGCGTCCTCTGCAGGACGTGGGCCAAGAGTAGCGCGAACGCGCGCAGGTCCCCGAGGTGGGTGCCGCGGCGCAGCATCAGAGGCCGGGTGGAGTCGTTGCGCACGGTCACCGCCAAGCACCGCCAAGGCCCGGCCGTCGCCGTCGGCAAGCATCGTGCTGGTCACCGTGAGGCCTGCGGGCAGATCGGCCAAACCAGGAGCAGGTGCGGGTCCGGGGGGGGGGGGGGGGGGGGGGGGGGCGCTGAAAGGTAGGCAAAAAGTCGCACATTACCCCTGTAGGTAGGCAACTTTCGCGACATCCCCCCCTGAACCCGTCCCTGGATCCGCCCTTGACCAGGAGCCACGCTCCCGCGATGACCCCACGGATTAAAACAACGTGGCCTTCCTCGACCCGTCCACTCCCCCCCCCCCCCCCCCCCCGGGCTGAGCGCGTCGAACCTGAGCCTGCTGGTGTCGTCGCCGGGCGTGTCGCGGAACGCCGTCAACCTGGGCGCCGGTCTCGGCGTCCAGCGCGGCGGTGTCGTGGAGGCCGCGTCTTGGCCGCGCCAGGCCGCCAGGCTGCTGCATCTCCCGCAGCAGGTCGCGGAGCTCGGCCACCAGTGACCGGTTCTCGTTGGCGGGTGGATGGGCGGCGGGCACGCGCACGTAGGCGTCCTGGTGGGCAGCGGCTGCAGAGGCGGCCTGACCTGACGGACCCTCGACCCTCGGTCTCTTGACGGCAGGCTGCTGCGCTTGGTCGACGGCCTACAGCCGGAGGTCCGCGGCGATGGTCTCGGCGGCGGATGTCCCCGTCCCGGCGCATCTCGGGGTTGGCGAGGACGGCGATGAAGGCCCGGCGTGCTGCTGACTGCAGCGGGTCCTCCCGCCCCAGGTGGGGTACGCGGTACGCCTCGCGCACCAACTACAGTACGGCGCCGGTGGCAGCAGCGCCGCCGCGGGACCGTGGAGGGCACGGAGAAGGCGTCGCCCCTTATCGACGTCGGCCCAGCCAAACTCCCGCACCGCGTCTGGGAACTGCGGGTCGTAGATGGCCCACGGCATGGTGCCGTCAAACCTCAGGCCGTGGCGCCGGAGTTCGGGACTGCAAGACGAGCTGGAGCAGGACGTCCGTCGTGTGCTCCTGCCGTCGACGACTCGCTCCAGCGAGCGGCCGGACGCGCCGGACTTTGTCGTGGCGCTCACCTTGTCGATCTCGAAGTTGCCGGAGAGGCACTCGTTGACGTACACCCTGCAGGCCATGGTGGAGGTGCTAGTATTGATGAGGACGCCCGCCCGCGTAGTAACTTGGCCGCCAGTGCTGTGGTTGCTCCTCCACGCACCCGTCTGCATGCACGCAGCGAGATGCAGCGGCGGCCGCGACGCGAAAGAGCACACTGCAGCAGGTCGCGGCTAGGGTTCGAATACAGGCCGCTTGGGTTGACTTCAGCCGAGCAGGCTGCAACTGTCAGTGACGTCTGTGCGGGACGGCGGCCGACGCAGCGCCCCTAAACAAGTGGTGAAGCCCCTGTCCGTGGTGCCGTGGCAGCCGACAACTGGCGAGGTCCCTGCCGCTGGGGGCCTACCTGAACTCTAGCCAGGCCGGAGTCCGAGATGAGCAGGAGCTGGACGACGCGCTGTCAGGGCAGTTGGCGTCGAGCCCCCCAGAGCACGCACCGAGTGCGTGGACGAGGCGGACACCGAGACGGTTAGGCGTTGCATCAGATCGCCGCCAGTGTCCGACGGCAGTGGCAGTGGCGGCCTTCCTCTTTTAAGTCTGCCAGGGTTGGCCAGGGTGGCCGGGCCGCGTCTAGTGAGCATTGTTGAGATAGAGCAGGGCAACAGCAACAGGCGCTGCAAAATAACAGCATCCAACACGATGTCTTCTTCGCGATTCCCTATTGCAATTACGACTAATGACGGTGGTCCTTTCGGAGTGCCCTACAACGACATGGGTAGAGCACGTCGATCGCAGTTGCACAGCCTGCTGGAATTTGTGTCGGTAAGGAGACCCTCTAGATACAGTACTTTGCGTTGCTTCACTGAGCGTCTCAAATGCAGTTTCCTTCTTTTTCATGTCAGAGTGATTTGAGCCGCATGCGCAGTGACCTAACGAGGCTGCCGGATCGTATTAACGCCATGGAGAAAATACAGGCAGTTCTAGAAGATGAACTGGCCCTAGAAAATGCGCTAGCTGTTCCTGACGTTGAAATCACACCACCTTCGCAAAACGTAGGTAGTAAACCGGTCATTCTTACACCGTTAGCGTTCAGGCTCATTGCTGGTGCTCGTACAGGGGGGAAGTCAGCGCCAGCGGCATACGCGGACGCGTGGTCGCAACGGACAGCGCTCTAGACGGGCACAGGGACAGCAAAGGGCTCCACCACCGTCAAGATCAGCGCAACAGACAAGAGCACAGACACAGCACCTTCGACGGCAGCAGTTGCACTCAAGACCCCCCGCTGCCACCAAAATGATCCAAGTGCCCAATTTACTGTAGCATCAGTGGAAAAGAAAAGAAACGGTTTAGGCTCGACTCCAAAAAAATTCAGGTAATTAGATTGAAGGCTTTAAAGTTTTGGAATGAGAGCTGTGCACGAATCCCAGCAACACGCTCGCAAAATGAACCCAATCATTTAGGAACAAGGCGCCTGCGCAGCAGGCGGGGTAGGCAAACCTTTCGACAAGTCAGTTAAGTTGTTGCCTACCTAGGAATGCGCGGGCGCACTCCCACCACACTGACTGCATCCCTTCGATTTACTTTAATTCCAGATACAGTTTCAACACTGAATCACCCAGCACAGCTTCCTGCAGAAGAAATTCACCATCTAGATCCTCCTCAAGCCCATATTCCCCAACCACAGCGCGCACCACAGCCCGACGGGCTAACTGGCGCAAAGCGTTGCGCGGTACAGATGCGCGTCGTCTCGCTGGCAGGGCTTGGTGGTTGAGTCGCGGCGGGAGCGTCGGTATAGACACCGACAGCGCCAGCCGAGGACGCCGTCAGACCCAGCCACGCGGCCCGCGGCCCGCGGCCGCCGGCTTCGTTGTCCCGCTGGTGGCCACCGCGCTGTTGCTGGCGCGGACAGCTCCGGCCTGTCGTCCCGGAACTCACGGACTGCTTGGACCTGCACGACATCGAGTCAAACCGCCCCACTGCGACAGGGGGACTGGCTGACGCAGACTGCGCCACCATCGCCTGGGACAGGAGCGTGGCGTGCGGCCGTGGGGGTGATCTCGCCCAGTGCACCACCCGTCCCTAGTGGCCCCCTTCTAGTCCACGCTCTCGGTGTCGGCACGCTGCCGGTGCCGATGCTGCCCGCGCGGCGCCCCTGGGACAGAGGCCCTCCACCGCCCCGATGCGCCCCGATGAAGGCACTGATCGGAATCACTCTGCAAGCCTGGGAGGGAGGCGCCCCCTCCAAGGCAATTAACTTGACCCTCCGAGCCTACCGATTCAGTACATCGGTTTGTCGCTGTCTCGGTCGCACCCTCAGGGAGAGCCCCATGAGTGCGGTAGAGACAGCGACGAAGTGATCCTTCTGAACACAAAGAAAAAGAGTACATAAGAAAACGGTAGTGAAAAAGCTTTTTCATCAATGACCAGAAAGTGGTGTTCCCTTCAGGTGACCAACATAAAAGCAAATTTTTAAATGCTTAGCATAACAGATCTGGACATGATAGAAAAATTGAATGCAAAGACAAACATTATAGAGGTAAAAAGGAGTGAAAAAGCTTTGTCATCAAGGTCCAGGTGGAATTCCCTTGAGAGGTGATTGTCATTATAAAAATATTTTGAATGCTTTACAAAAGATAGAAAAACTGGACGCAAAGACAAAGATTATATAAGAAAAAAAACTAGTGAAAAGGCTTAGTCATCAAGGACCATAAAGTGGTATTCCCTTGAGAAGTGACCAACATTACAACAAATTTCTCGATGCTTCACAAGAGATCTTGACAAGATAGAAAAATTGAACACAAAGACAGAGAGTACATAAGAAAACGGTAGTGAAAAAGCTTATTCATCAATGACCAGAAAGTGGTGTTCCCCACCAACATAAAAACAAATTTTTAAATGCTTAGCAAAACAGATCTGGACATGATAGAAAAATTGAATGCAAAGACAAACATTATAGAGGTAAAAAGTAGTGGAAAAGCTTAGTCATCGAGGTCCAGGTGGTATTCCCTTGAGAAGCCCCTCAGGTATCCCGTCGGGGTCTGGTCACAAGCGAAACATTCTTCCCTCCAACCGAACTTTTTCGCATCCTCTTTTTCTTTAGCAATACATTTGTAGCACGTCGGGTAGTGGCCACATGGCTGGACGATAAACATGCCACGGTAAAGTGAGCAGTTGACACAAGCATTACCGCGGTCCTCTGGCACTTCTCGGTCGCTCAACACAGCCTCAGGCAATTCTGGGCCAAAGTCGCACTCTTCATTTGGCTCCTCAGGTCTGGGGGCTGGTGGCTCCTCGACTCGCCCCCTCTTATTCTTAGATCCTAGCGGTCTCCCAGCCTTCCTCCGAGGTGGTACAGCGACACCTATAAAAACAGATCCAAAGTGTTTTAAACGTAGTTAAAAAAAGTGATAACTAGCAAATGATGCTAGAAGCAGAAGCAGAGGAGTAGACAGAGAAAGAAGTAACATACCTGAACAGCTGGCTGGCGAGTAGTTGGAGCTGCTGCCAACGTGCCACATGTTGGTGGGTGGCCAGTGAGAAACACCTGAAAGATGACGATATTTTGTTAAACAAGGCTTCATCTGGTCAATTCCGCATTCAGTGGTTAGATGGTGAGTATACAAGTTGACGTGACAGAGCAGAACAATCAATAGTGACCAAGAGCAGAACGGACTTAGGCAGATTAATCACCAAAGGGTCAATCAATAAAATTAATCTGAAGATACTCAAACTTGAGGGTGTATGAGAAACTAAAACTTACCAGAGCAAGAAGGCCCGGCCGGCATGGGGGAATGTCCTTGTCCATTAGGCGGCCAATGAGCAGCACCTGAAATAAGAAGAAACTTCGTTAAGAGGAGAGTGAGAAAGAGTGAGTGAGAGGGACAGAGAGATAGAGACTGGCATTTAACTTCGTCATAATACTGCGAGTTTAACTGACGGGGCAAACCAGGGCCATTCAGCAGCGCCCAAAATGGACCATCGACGATTTGGCCCATTTTTGGCTCAAATGTTACCTACCCATAGGTAAACATCGGGGTAAAATTTCAGCCACCTAGATGTCGTTTCATAGGAGTTATGGGCAATCTTAGTTTTTGACTTTTTTTCTTTAGTGGTTTTTGACCAAATTGCTACATTTTCCAAAAATCCCTCTCAAGTCCACAGTTTTGCCCCTAGTTGGCTGAAAACTCGTTCCCCACCGTAAAATTGCATGAGGAATTCGATTTCAGGGCCGAAATGGACCCCTGGGCAGTCTATCATAGAGAAAAACGCCAGTTTTGACGAAAAATCACTTTATTTAAGGTTTTACGTCGGTGCGTTTTAAACCTACACCCGAATCCAAACTTGGTCAACTCTATGCGGGAAATCGTACCTCACACTACCACCTAAAATAGCACGGCTCGACATTTGGGTGGTATGGGTATGGTTTGGGCGCTGCAGCCTAGGGAACTTTTCAATTATGACCAAACCAACAAACCAACAAAAACTAGCAAATTTCTCCTTACGGCGAGGTCAACCCTCCTGCATTGGCGGTTTCGGGTTCAACTGAGGCCCCGCGGTAAGATATAAGTTAGAAAGGTCCTTCTTACCCCTCACTACCATCACTGACCCTCTGAGAAGCGCACTGAGGTCACTTTTGGGTCCATGGCTGCAGCCAAAATGACAGAATTGACGAAACGCCTGAAGGGTAGGCAACTTATCCTACGCGCCTGAAGGGTAGGCAAATTATCCTACGCATGAGGAGGGCTGTTCTGGTCTAATAAAACATGTAGTGGAACATCTGCTTCTTATATTTTGAAGAGGATAATGATCACAATTTTGACAAATTTGGCAGTTAGATAAAATACTAAGCTAGGAGCAAAACTTGGCCCATTATACATTGAGCTAATATCGTAAGTTGCTGATCATTACACTAAACTAAGAACACAACTTTGCTTAACACATGGGAAAAAGTCCAGACGACCATCCGGGAACACCGCTCCCGGACAAATCCGATTTTCCGATTTCGCCTCACAGAATAGTCACGATCATGAGACATATTTTTTTGGAACCACCTCAACGGAAGACGCAAGTTATTTTTTGAACGGACCTCGTACGATGAATTTGGTACGGAAACATGATTCCTGGACGGTCGTAAGAGACATGTCCTTTCCGGGAACACCGTTCCCGTACGTAAAAGCAGCCCCGCAAGCTCAATGAGGGTATTTTCGGAATCAGCGGATCGAGTCCAGGCCATTCGCACACTTTTCGACTTGGTTTGAGCTGTTACAACCAACTCGATTTTGGCACGGCCCGATTCTGCTGCACGTCAAGAAGGCCGTGTGGAAATCGGGTTGGTTGTAACAGCTCAAAACAGGTCGAAAAGTAAGCGAATGGCCTGGGGTCCCTCCGCTGATTCCGTAAATACCCTCATTTAGCTTGCTGAGCCGCTTTTGCGTACGGAAACGGTGTTCCCGGACTGGACATGTCTCTAAGGACCGGCCGGGTACACGGTTCCCGGACTCAAAAACGGCCATACGAGCTTCAAACTTAGACTTTTTGCGTTTTCTTCCTTTTTTTCGTAAAATTAAATGATTTTGGCACTCACTTCGATCGGGACCGTGTTCCCATATATACTGCGTTCCTGCATCCAATGTGTCGTTGGCGTCCACACGGGAACCCCGTTCCCGTCACTGGGCATAGCCCTTGCAACCGTCCGGGCACGGGGTTCCCGGGATCTTTTTTTCGGCTGGTTGGTTTTTGTTATTGCATGATTCGTGCTTATATCTAGTCGCGAGGTCTGGGAGATGCAGGGTTTGGTCAAAGTAGACTCCGGTGCTGAGCGGAAGTTTGCCCAAAACGGGTCCGGTCGTGAATGTGTTAAGCAAAGTTGTGTTCTTAGTTTAGTGTAATGATCAGCAATTTACGACATTAGCTCAATGTATAATGAGCCAAGTTTTGTTCCTAGCTTAGTATTTTATCTAACTGCCAAATTTGTCAAAATTGTGATCATTATCCTCTTCAAAATATAAGAAGCAGATGTTCCACTACATGTTTTATTAGACCAGAACAGCCCTCCTCATGCGTAGGATAATTTGCCTACCCTTCAGGCGCGTAGGATAAGTTGCCTACCCTTCAGGCGTTTCGTCAATTCTGTCATTTTGGCTGCAGCCATGGACCCAAAAGTGACCTCAGTGCGCTTCTCAGAGGGTCAGTGATGGTAGTGAGGGGTAAGAAGGACCTTTCTAACTTATATCTTACCGCGGGGCCTCAGTTGAACCCGAAACAGCCAATGCAGGAGGGTTGACCTCGCCGTAAGGAGAAATTTGCTAGTTTTTGTTGGTTTGTTGGTTTGGTCATAATTGAAAAGTTCCCTAGGCTGCAGCGCCCAAACCATACCCATACCACCCAAATGTCAAGCCGTGCTATTTTAGGTGGTAGTGTGAGGTACGATTTCCCGCATAGAGTTGACCAAGTTTGGATTCGGGTGTAGGTTTAATACGCACCGACGTAAAACCTTAAATAAAGTGATTTTTCGTCAAAACTGGCGTTTTTCTCTATGATAGACTGCCCAGGGGTCCGTTTCGGCCCTGAAATCGAATTCCTCATGCAATTTTACGATGGGAAACGAGTTTTCAGCCAGCTAGGGGCAAAACTGTGGATTTGAGAGGGATTTTTGGAAAATGTAGCAATTTGGTCAAAAACCACTAAAGAAAAAAAGTCAAAAACTAAGATTGCCCATAACTCCTATGAAACGACACCTAGGTGGCTGAAATTTTACCCCGATGTTTACCTATGGGTAGGTAACATTTGAGCCAAAAAATGGGCCAAATCGTCGATGGTCCATTTTGGGCGCTGCTGAATGGCCCTGGTTTGCCCCTGACGCAATCGGCGATTCGCAACAAGCACTCGGCTGGCATTTTGGGCGGGCAGCAATAGTCAAGGTTTAGAGGAGAAATACACTTGCGCGGGCGAGAAAGACGAAGGATCTTACTTCAATAAAGAGTGAAAATAGGAAGTTTCAAGTGGACGGGAGAAAATAAAAAATGGCGGCTCTAGACAAAGGACCCTATCCTAACGCACACTGTAGGCGCCAAGACACTGACCTTGAGCCGAAGACGCGGCAGGCGCATTTGGCGATGGGCTATAGACCTGTTGATGATAGTACGGCTGCTGCACAAATCCGTAGCCATGTTGGGGAAAAGCCGCCTGCGGCTGCGGGTACATTGCCACGGCCACTGCAGCTTGCTGATGAGGAGGCTGTCCACCTTGAGGTTGCTGCATTGGCTGCGGCGGACCGATGGGCCCAGGACCACCCGCCTGCGGCTGCGGGTACATTGCCACGGCCATTCCAGCTTGCTGATGAGGAGGCTGTACACCTTGAGGTTGCTGCAGAGGCTGCATAGCCACTGCTGGCGGACCACCCGCCTGCTGCGCGTGGGGCCCCCCAGTGCCCTGAGCGTCCGCAGACTTATTCTCCATGATCCCGTCCAGATTTCACGTTAACGTACGTCAGCTCCCCACAAGAGTCACCTGCACACTGACGGCAATGCCGGCCGGCTGCCAGCCGGCCGGAAGGACCGCAAAAAGTACAGCTGAAGTCAGTCAACCAATGAACATAACCCCGCCCCCCCCGAAAAAACATCAACAAAGGTGACCTTTGTACTACTTAAAACAGCGCTAAATGTCAAAACGCAAAGTAATTGTTTTTTTTTTAGAAGGAGAAAGTAGTGTCAGTACCCTAAAAATCAACGGTAGTGAAATATAACCGACGAAATGGGTCTGTTTTGACTGGCGTTGTTTATTAGTGCAGTGACACCACACCTCTACGCCTCCGAAATCCCATTACAAATTCTTGCACATACGGAAAAGAAGAGCGGTCTTGTTGAGCGAAAGCTTATCTCGAGGCTTTTCTAGCATTGTTACATGCATGGCTGTTTCCGTGTGAGGACCCTTCCGGACGTGACTGGAACGTAATACGAGACTTGAACGTACAGAGGTTGGTGCACATACCACTTCCGGACGATTCGCACATCCGTTTGGGGTTGGCGGTGCGCGGCGCCCTCTTTGATTGCCGATTGTCGCGTTGCTTAGAGAAGCTTACTTTTTTCTGTAAATAACTTCGGAGCCATCCCAAATTTGTCTCCAGTTAGGTCCAATGGACACCTCACACACTCCCCAAAATGCGCCAGTTGGATGAATTATCGGCTTATCTGCGTGTGAGTTCGAATTACCCTTACTCCTTTTTTGGTATGTGTCTATCCTTAATCATTTAATGATTGTCAGTCTCAAATGCGTCGTATCGAGCGAGATCTGGTCCGAACCCATAGAACTGGCTGAAAGGTTTACAATGCTGCGACGAACGGCCGAGGTGGTAGATTCTGAGCTGAGAAGACTCCAAGGTACAGTGGCACTGGTGACATGACTTGACTTTAAGGCCCGTCTTGTAGGATTCATTGAAGCAAAGGAAAACCCTGGATGGCGTATTATGAAGCACTAATTCTCTCAATGCTCAAACGTCAAACACTTTAACATTTGCAGCAAATAAATCAGTGAAACAATTTTTCTGGTAATAATCCGACAACTTCCGATTTCATAATAGGAGTGCAAACAAACTATTAGTCATTGACAGATTCCAGAGCACCATAAATGCTGAACGAGTCATGTCTTTTTGTCCCCCTGAGAATTTGTTCTTTTATCAACCTGAAGGCATATAAAATACCATTTACACCTCCACTAAATCATAGGCTCTTCTGTTTCAGAAATGTCAAAAAACCCCACTCATCAGAGGCAGGGCAAATGCCAGCCAAGCAACACTCCCATTTCCATTCTCACCACCAGAATCCAGAGGGACTTTGCCAGACAACCCGAGGAACCAAGGTGGTAGACCTAATCAGCGCAGGTGGAGGCCATGAAGAAGCAAGAGAAAGAAATATTCCTGGCACTTGTCCATAAATTTGAAGTAAACAAAATCGTGCAAACAATTAGTTTTTTTAACTTGCAATAAATTTTCTGCCAGCTCTGATAAGTGCTTCTCTGGAAGTGTACTGTTCTGTACTGACAACAATAAATATATAATTGTGGTAAAAAATGAGCATTTGGGCGATTTGCCTTTTAAAAAAAGGGGAAATTTGATAGCACCTTCACCCAGGTAATAAACATCAACAAAAGAACAACTCCAAGCCAGCATGAAACCCATTTTTGAGTTAGTGACATGTGTGAATTTACATAGCTTTTGTACTAAAGACTGACTACTCAGTTTAATTCTTAAAAGAATGATAGTCTCTTTGTGTCTGCAATGCATAAGATGAAATGAAATGAGGAACCTTAAATATCAGAGTTATTCACAAACCTGCTGTATTTCGAAACCCAAAATGAATTATCACAACAACAAAATGGAGGGTTCAAAAAATTTTTAGCCAAAAAAAATAAAAATAAACAGAAAACCCTCGATGAAAGAAGGCACTTCAAATACATAGATTGTGTCAACTACAAAAATACAGGCAAAAATACTTCTTGTTGTTCATAACAAAACACCCCCAACACATTTTGGGAAAAAAACATAGGAAAGTTCTGCTGCAAGACCATGAGAGAAAGGAGACCATTACCCACAAACTCACTTAAAAATCCACAGGACTAGTTTTTGAAATTTTCTACCAAAATTTAGTTTTTATGGGGCAATGGTCCTCCTCACAACAATAGTTAGATGTTCCAGCCTAACCGAAAACAAGATCATAAGGTGCCTGGAGGGTACGTGAAGCACTTCGCAGGAACTGCAAAATACTTATTCTGTTTTGGTTGAGGCTGTCTGTAAGGTTTCTGATCCTTTCATCATTGTAGATAGTCGATACTCGCACTGCTCTACCAGCATCTCGACCATCTGAAAGAGCATGGACATCCACCATGAACTGATCCTCTTGAAGGAGAAAGGACCCTGGAAAGAAAAACAAGTTTGAACAGATTGTATCATTAATATGATCAAGGCACAAAAGTTATTACCAATGCATGCAACTTACTCCATTAAACGGTGCTGTAAAATATTATCTTTTTCCCTCATCATAAGCAAATTGTTTGCGAGCAGACTGGACCCTCACAGGTACACTGTGAAGAAAATCTGAGAATTTCGGAAGATCATAAGTACAGTTAAGTAACCAGGCCCACAGAATGCTGAATCTGTGAAGGAAAAGTAGTGACACATAAGACCCTGACATTGACAAAAGTGAAGTATGGGGAGCTGTAATACCATTGAGAGAAGACTCACCTTATTTGATCCTTGTCACAAAAGATGATAAAAGAACACTTTTGGCTGTGGATGTAGTGTCAACCAAAGGGGCAAATTAGAGACTAAACGGTGGTATTCATCTGTCCTTGTTAATTTGAATGTTCAAGGTGTGTCCCACTCCAGAGGTAACAAGATCTGTGAAGCAAAGGCATGATAATAGTAAGCAATATTAATAATTGAAAGAACAAACTGATCTTCTGAATGCACAGAATGGTTGGATTGACAACAATTGCTACATGAAATTCACATGACTTAAAGTTCAAAAACCCGCATGACCTTACAAACAAGACGATGGAATTTCATTTGTATTTGGGCACAAATAATTAACCTTTTCATACTCGTAGGTAACATAAGGTAACAAAAATGGATTTTCCAATCAAGCTATGAATATCTATTTTGCTCTACAGCTGTAGATAATGGTGGGTGGTCATGATTTAGAAAAAGAAGATGAAATAAATAGATAAACTTAAAATCCAGGTTCCCTCAAAACTTATTTGCATCAGCTTCCAATCAGAATTAATCTGGAAAACAAGAGACACAGCAAAGGGCCTCCTGGTCCATGCACTGAGGGTCATTCTTTGTCAGATCATCACAGCCCCAAACTTAAGTCTCAGGTTGGCCTAGAAACATTTAAAAGTCATTAAGGGTGCTCCTTTGACCCTTCCTACAGGAGGATTTGACTAGGAAATTTTTTTTCTATTCTTAATGAGCTTCCACAGTTTTAAGGTTTCCGCTAAATGCCGAAATTGTTCCAACATTTCTCCAGAGGGAACCATTCCTCGTATCAACTCCCCGTAATGGTTTTTTTTTGGGGGGGTTGACAAGTAATGCAGAAAAAGTAAAAATAATACAGGAAGATGGTCATAAGAATAACCAAAAAACGTTAGGGAGAACTACTAAACATAAGTTAAAAATTGAATTTGCCAAAATACGTTATACTGGTATGGTGATGATATTTGGTGAAAAAGTACCTCTTTAGTGGTCGACCAATCCTGAAAAGAACTCATGTCCAGATCGCACCTCCTTACCCTGATCAGGGCCTGAAATATGCTTCTGACGGATCGTAAACCTTTAAGAATGGCATCCTAGCAGCCTTATCATTCCGAAAGCCACTAATGTGCAATGTGAATCACTTCCAATTCAAAATGATATTTTGGTATCAGGGTAACAGTTTTGGGTGTGAGGCTTGGCAATCGTCAAGTACAAGTGTGTGCATGGCACACTCCAAACTACTACATTCCAGCCAAGCTCGCTGAACGGTTGATTCTGGGGAAATTTTGGGAGAAACTCGGAATTTAGGGGAAGCCATAAAACTATGGAAGCTAATAAAAACTAGACAAAGATTTTCCCAGTCAAATCCTCTTGCGGGAAGGGTCAAAGGAACGGACGCCTTCGACTTTTCAACGATTCCTGAAGCTTAGG